GGTAACTCTCGTGACGCTCGTGAGGGTAACTCTCAACCATCGTGAGGAGGGCAACTAACCCTCGTAGCCCTCGTGATCCTCGTGACGGTAACCCTCGTAACCCTCACGAGGGTTACGAGGGTTACTCGCGGTTACGCCGACGCCGACGCCAACGGGGGAGGGGGTCACGTGACCTCGGGGGGTGTGTTACGTTACTTCGGGGGGAGGGGGTCACGTGACCTCGGGGAGGGGAATCACGTGACCTCGAGCGAGGGGGGTCACGTGACCTCGAAGAGTGGTCACGCGGCCTTGGGGGTCACGTGACCTTAGGGGTCACGTGACCTTGGAGCGACCTTGGTTACGCCGACGGCGACGCCTCTCAGGCCGGAAGCGGGCGCCTAAGAGCTGCGCTCTAAAATTAGAAGGCATAAGCACACTCACAAAAAGAGATGATCAGCAAAGCGACGCTGCACTTTCAACATAGTTTTATTGTCTCGTCGGTTCCTGTGTTGGCCGCGCTCTGAAGTTGGCTATCCCAGGGAAATCCACGTTGCACAATATCAGTGGTTCTGCCATTCAGCAGTGTCTCCGACATCCTGGTCCTCCGGACCTGACTTTCGAAAGGGGTCTTGCACATCAGTCTCGCCCAGAGCTCGCTCGATGGCAACAGTTGCTGTAACGTCGAACCAGTCTCACTGCACGTGCGCTGGAGCATATGTAACTCTCCAAGAGGATATAGACGTAAACTACTTTTTCAAAATCACGCTTCTCTGGTCCAGCCACGGGAATGCATTCGGCCCGCCATCAGGATGGAAAAATAGAGAGTCACCCAAAATAAAATAAATATTTGCAGGTAGAAGCGAACTTAATTTGTATTTAACTATGTCGCAGACTGCCTGCTTTCTACCAATGACTCATCGGTCACCTATTTGCAATCATAAATACGCATCAACGGCACCCGCCCTGATTACCTAACTCCGGTCATTTTCTAGAATACACCCTTTTCAAAAGTCCATCAGGCAGCAAAGGCGGACACCATTGCTTGCTCACAAAGCGCCCGACTGGATCAACTCCTCGCCGAACTCTGACGCAGCGCTCGTGCTGAATTCTAACTGAGCCGAGTTCCCGCCGATCGCTAAGCCGCGTGTGTTTGATAACATACTCAGAGTATGTGAGCAAGCAATGGAGGACGGGTGTTGGTGTAGAATTGAAAAGGGTCTATTGAGGCACATAGATGCCCGCTTTTAATCGGACTACGACAGAGTGAAGCCTAACACCGACACGTCGTTGGTGATTCGCGACCAAAGACAGCAGATGACCGCAGAATTTTTACAGAGGAAGCATAACTCTACTACTCGTTAGGCATGTTGGGCCCAAAACTTTAAGATGACAGCCAAACTTTTCGCATGTGGCCTCAATTTTCGGCAGTTCTTTGGCGATGAGGACCCGAAAAATGCGAGATTGGAGCCGACGTCTCAGGCAGTAAATCTCACTATGGCACTTTCTTGGTGCCTGGTCCAGAGCTACCAGGTAAGAGCCGAGTTTTTAGAGAGTGGAGGCTACCTTTGGCACTTGTTTGGTTATTTAGGACCAGGGTTGTAAAAGTTACTTCAAAAATGTACCTAAGATACAGTTACAGTTACTCATACGAAAATGTACCTAGGTACGTATCTAGCTACTCGCTTAAAAATGTACCTAGGTACAGGTACAGTTACTTCAAAGCTACTTTTTTATTTTCACGCCAAGTATTTTTCTCAAATTTGTCACATTATTATTAGAAGTAAATCTTTTGTATACTGGGATGTACACAAAAACAAGTTTGATAAGCATGCTTTATTGGTGTCAATGGGCCCGCCCTGTTCCCGTGTGCTAGCTACCAGCGAAGTCAAAGCTAGCGCGAGCCCAATGCTCTGTGCATTCCTGACTCGCGCGTGGGCTCGTGCAGCGTGGGCACCGTTACGGGCTCCATGCGCGCGCTTGTAGCTTCGGCTGCGCTCGCACCGAAGCTGAAACAAAGTATAGTTGAGTTACACCAAACTCTGGATGTAGTGCTGGTAAAGCCTCACCGTCCTTTTCGGAGCACAAAGCACTGCGCGACTCGCGCGACTGTGGTGTCTGCTCCGCGGGTGTCGCTTCTCTGCAGCGCGTCGGTGCATGCCAAGGAGCGCACTCAACGGGTTAACTCGACGTGATCCGATCGTGACTTCGCCAGCACATCGAAAATGAATCGGAATTTTTGAAGCAAATATCAGATACCGCAATATTAGAAGCTGCTGCCCAAAAAACAACTCTAATCTGAACTAAAACATTTCACAACAATGAGGGTCGTTAGATGCTGCTGCAGATACCTGAAAAGAAGTGCAGGCTGATAAAACTAAACATCCTGTACCACCAGAACTCAGTGTTACATATTTGATTGTATTTTTTTATCTGACGAGCAGATAAACTTTATTTAAAAAAAAAAATTTTTTTGTGTGTTTAATTTGTTGAATTTTATATATCCTGTCTTAAAAAGGCGACAGGCGCTGTGTTCCAATAATAGAGATGGGCTTTATATAGCAATGCGGAATTATTTTATTTTCAAGTAATATGCCAACATATGCCGGACCCTGCTCCAAAAGGGCCACTACCTGCTCCAAAAAATATTTTGCCTGCTACAAGGCCTGCTCCAAAAGGTCAAATGGCACTTCCATCACTGTGTAAGGTTTGTTATGCTCCGTACTATGTGCGTTTACGTCCGTCAGTCGGCCAAGAGATTGACGCTGCGTCGCACGTCAGGGTAGCAACTTTTCGTGCGTACAATACGCCTGCTACTGATTTGTCGTTGTTCTCAACTGCGGATGTTCGATAACTGGGACTTAGAACTTTGCAGAACTCCCTCGAAACCGTTGTTTAAAGCCTGTCCCTGCGTCAACTCACTCTTCGTTTTCGACGTGTTTCGACCCATTCACCACTCTGACTTCACCTATATATTATATATGACGAAGTAGAGGTCCATCGGTAGAACAACGGAAACTTTATTTTCGACGTTTCAACCGGAGTCTGGTCTTCGTCAGGAATGGGTAACAAAGAAAGGTTTGGTCATACTTATACAAAATTACGGTGCAAGTCCATTTTTCACGGCGTCTGGAGCGATGGTAAGAAGTCGTTACAAAGATGTCCGGGTGCGCTAGGTAAACTAGGCTTCCGAGAAAATGAACCGACCCACAACAATTATCTGTAAGCTGCCTTGTCATTGGTCATTTAGATATCGTCTTCATTTTAGTTTTACTGGAAGCAACCAATGTTTCCCTTTTTAATGCCCGCACGTCCGGAATTTTCCGCCGCTGTTGATTATCTTTGGCGTCTGGCAGAAATATCGTTTTCGTCTCAAGTGCTAATGCTGAAACCTAGTTGGATTAGTGTCCTGCGCCGCTGAGCTGTTCTGATACGGTGCAATAAGTATTAACTAGCCATGCTTTACTTTCTCAAGAGGTCTCACAAGGAAGCACTAAAGAGTGTCGACAAGAGCAAGACGAATGTCGACGGGGTAAAACGGAAAGCCGCGGCACCCAAGGAAAGACCCGAATGTAGCACAGGGCCTCCACAACATAGAATAACAGCAGCCCAGCCATCAGTGGCAGACTACATCAGGAGCTCGAAGTCTCCGTTCGGCCAGAGTACGAGTGCTTCGATTATCTGCCCTTGATGTTTGTATCCTTCTACTGCTGCAATAATTTTTGACAACGAAGCCTGCCAGTTTTGTTGTGCTTAATTATGTGAAATGAACATTTACAAAGGTCTCCCAATACTATTTCCCGTACGTAATTATAACTGTGACTCTGGAAGTGGTATTTGTAGGGGGTATTTTAGAAACCAGGAGGGAGTTTCTTCAGACATAGGTATTTTCAGTTTTGTAAAGTGCAAAATTTGAGTTCGATTTATTGCGTGGAAACACTACGTGATGTTAAATTGCTTTAAGACTGTAATTATAATTTATTTTCAGTTATATGTTATATTGTATTTTCTACGATTTTGACGAAGTGAATAAAAAAGTACCTGTGAAAAGTAACTTCACTTAGTTACAAGTTACTGGAAAATGTACCTAAGATACAGATACAGATACTGAGAAATGAAAGTACCTAGGTTTGTACCTCAGGTACAACAAAAGTACCTAGTTACCGATTTACAGTTACTTGTACCTAGGTACTTTACAACCCTGTTTAGGACCAAAGATACTTGCACCTGTTAGGTGGTTTTTGCCCCATCAGGCCAAACGACAACCGAACTAGGAAGTGAAGCTTAACTCTTGCACATCTATGGCGAGCTAGATCCAAGATAACCAGACCCTTGCCAAAGAAGGTCTGATTAGGCTGTACCTTGGCTCATTAGGCAATGTCAAGGCCCATTAATCCCAGGCAAAGGCCACATTTTGGCCCAGGACTCCGTCCTACCTAGGCAGTTGGAGCTTTGTCGAAACTCAGTGAGTCCGGTATGTTGTGAATTAGGAGATACTGGGCACGTGCACCTAAACAGCTACTCTTCACAGTTGAAGGTATTAAAATTATTTAAACATATAAAATCAGGAACGGTGTGGGGTTTAGACGGTGGAAAAGTATTGGTGTGGTCATTACTGTCCTATATTATATATATTAATTTATTTTCTAGAAAAATGTTCACGCCACTTGTTAGAACTAAGGCGTGCTATTCGGTGCCCGCTCTTTTTATGCTTATGTTGCATTTGTTATAACACCAAATTTGAATTAGGTATCATGAAGAAAGACGCAAGAGACAGTAACCACCCATTACGGAAGCATATTGTTTGTCGAGTTAGAACTAAGGCGTTTTGTTGTTTTTGTTTTTGTTTTTGAAAAAAATATGAGTGGAATAGAATGTTTATGTTATTAGGTGATAATGTTGGTCGTCAAATTAGGCCCATGTGTCGCATCTTGTAACAGATCAGTCTAGCTCCGCAATGCAGAAAATGAGTACAAAAGCGGAAAGTAGGTTTCAAATCACGTAATATTTTTTCTCGAATCCAGCTCACGACAGGCAAACTAGAAGCGGATCCTCAAATGCTTTGCCTGTTCGCGGTAATACAAGGGCTACTGAGAAGGTGGTAAGGCAGAAAAGAAATCGAAAACTCAAAACCATGATTACCCAGATAACAAGGCAGGCGAAGGAAAACGCCGAAAACTGAAAAGCAAAACTGGAACTAATTGTGCAATCAGCTGCAAGAAAACCTGGGAAATCCTTAGGGCCCTGCTGAACAGGGCGAAGCCCAAGGCAACTCTGCTAGAGAAGATCCAGAAATTCATCTTGAACTTCCCGGACAATAGTGAGGGGATACTCGAGGCGGTGAAAACAGAGTTCTTCGGGGAACATCCTCTACAGCGCACGACGAAATACCCAAATTGCGAGGGAGTAGACAACACACAGCTGGAAAAATCATTCACTAGAGAAAAGATGGAGGCTGCTCTGGGATGACTGACGAGTAACAAGGGACATACGAGGAATCGAATCAAAAACTAGACTTTCAGAAACCTTGATGCATGATAGTAGACTACCTGCTAAAACATGTCAAGGAAAGCTGAAATACTGGGAGGATTTTGTCCGTCTCGAGACCTGCCGATGTAAAGACGATGTCTAAGATAGAGAGCACGATAGCCGTTCAGAGTATCTCTGACATCCACGTGAGGAAGTTAGTCGTTCCGATGCTGCTTATCAGAGTGACGCTCTATCTGGAGGAGAGAGACCATTTTCCAAGTACCATGTACGGCTTCAGTGGCATTTGTCGGAGCAAGATATCTTACTGTAGTTAGAGCAGCAAGTCATTGACAACAAAAGCTCTAGAAGCAACAGCGCCGTCCTAGCTATGCATGCGAACGATGACTTGGACAATGATTTCCACGTGGTGGTACTCAGGAGCCTATATGGACTGGTTGCATAATGAACGCCTATGGGCCTTCCTGGCAGACCCGACGGCGATGTTGGAAGTGTGGACTGGAAGGATTAAGAAGTGATTCTCCAACAGGAAAGGACTCCTCAGGTTCCTAATGAAAAATACACCAGGCAATCCTGTTGTGACATCACAGAATCCTGGTGGGACTCCAAAATATCTGATGTGCCCTCCAGCAATGCTGGTTTATCAAACACACCAGCCTGGTGCACCCACCAGCAATGATGGTGTATCGAGCACATTAGCCTGGTGTGCCCCCCAGAAGTGCTGGTGCACCCACACACCATTCTCGTGTGCACAACAAAAGAGTTTGGTATAATACTACACGGGCTCGTGTGCCCACCAGGCAGCCTGGTCTGCATTCTACGCAGTTTATGTGACTCCTGTCCCTACTGAAAAAAATCCACCAGCCCGGGTCTCATGTGCTTCTGACGTTTACACCAGAGCGGAAATTCAGACAGGGGTCTTGGCGTGTCCTGGTGTCTTGGCGTGTTCGGCGTGCTCTGCTGTCTTGGCGTGTTCTGGTGTCTTGGTGTTACTGTCAAGTGTGTTCTGATGTGACCCGGCCAATCTAGTGTCTTCTGGGGTGACCTGGTCATGCATGCGCGGTATAATTTAGATGCAGAAAATACTGCTGAAGACAACAGCTAGCAAATTGTGCAAAAAGAACACCAGGTTCAGGTTCAGGTGTTCATTCTGCCATGAAACAAAAGTACAAAGAAAAAAAATAACGTAGCAGCTAGGGCGAGTTGGTTGTGTGTAAGGAGTGAGTGTTGTTTGCGAGAGTGCGCTGTGGTGTGTGTAATAAAAGAAAATAAAACGCACTATTTTATTTTTTCCTAACACGCACCACTCGCGCACATTCCCTTGCACACAGGGCTGTCCATGGCTTTTTTCTTCCATGCCGTTTATCCCAGCACATCTGGATGGCTAAGATGATGGCTTGGGCAAGTTGGTACTGCGTAATGAAACCTACAGTGAATGAAAAAATCATACACGAGCAGTTATTAAAAAAAATCTTAAAATAATAAAATCACAGCTACAACAGTAAACAAGAAAGTTCTGTCGTGTCCAGCCTGATATTCAGTCAATTTATCACTCGGCTGCCCTCCCGCGCTCAATCTGCTTTCTCCTACCTGTGGGAAACATAATACAATCAAACCTGATTATATCAAACTCGCAAAAAACCGTTTCCTACTTCGATATAGCGGGCAATTCTATATAAGCATGGTAATGAATTTGACAACGAACAAGCACGCTACATTTAGAAAAGTAGTTTACTTTTGAAGAGGCATCTGTACGTCATTAGGGACACTCACCGCAGCTGTTTAGTGGCCACTTCTGCGTTCACCGGCTCAGCATCTCCCTCCGCGGAAGAGATTTTTTCTTACTTCTGGGCGGTCGACGCGGCCGCCCAAAAGAAAATAGCCAGCTTTCTCTGCAAGGTGGCTTTCCCCCAAGAGGGTTTTGGCGCAAGGCGGAAAGCCAGCTTGCAAAGCTCAGAGGTGCTGCTAGTCGCAGTTCGATCTATTGGGAGAGGCTGCCATTTTTTTTCGATAGAACCGCATTTTTCGCTATGCATTTTATTGCAGCTACTAGTCCGTTCAGATAATAGTTCGAATTAACCTGGTTCCATATTATCGGCTTTGAATGAAGATGGAACCTCGTGGCCTTGCTCCCAGTGCGCAAAGCAAGCGCTGCGCCCGACGCGGCATTCCACCTGGTCTGCCCGCATTCACCTTGTTTCACCTCATAGTGCCTCTGACTGTCCATGTGTGCTGCACAAGGCAAAACCAACAATATTTTCATAAAAATATCTCAAAGCGCAGTAAATTATAACTCATACTGTACACACATTATGTGCACAGCTCAGCACAGCACAGCCGCAACAGATCCTCTGCCCTTCCAGGTTGGTCAGAAACACCCACCTGGTAGAGCGTCAGTCCTTTCATCTGTTAAAGGCTTCTTGCCAACTGCACCCTCCTGGAGGAGACGCCTGCAGGCTTGCCCTGACATACTCCTGTCAAAGAGCTCCGCAGGCTCCCATAGTGATCGGCTGACCATTCTGAGAAAGCGGCCAGGAAAGGCAGCCTTTTCCACAGCGTGGAAAAGGCTGCATTTTCCATGGCGTGGAAAAGGCTTGCATTTTGATGCCATGGACAAGATGAATCTGCAGTGAGTAACATTGACCAAATATGTGTTTACAGTACACTGATTGATGACACCATAGTGATCGCTCGTCATTTTAATGGATATTTCCAGTCAGTTTTTTTCTGACGCTGAAACGTACGAGTGTGAAAATCATGAGCCGTCCTACCTGAATGCTGATTGCGTATCGCTTGCAGGCGTATTTTCCATGTTATTGAACTTGAAAACGAAAAAGTCACCTGGGCCTGATAAGATCCTCAATGCCTTTCTGCGTCGTTTCGCGGAACCCTTAGCACATTTCTTAACAGTGATATTCCGCACGTCATTTTTATCGGGAGTTCTGCCGAATGATTGGCTCCTAGAACGTGTTGTGCCGGTGTTTAAAAAAGGAGATCACTTATTTCTGAGCAACTACAGGCCAATCTCGCTTACGTGTACATCGTGTAAGTTACTAGAACATATAATTTCAAATATGGTAACTGACTTCCTCGATAAAAATAACTTAATAACCGAGTTTCAACATGCATATCGAAAGGGCTATTCAACAGTGACACAGCTAGTTACCACGGTGCACGAATTTGCCTCCACTTTGGATAAATCTTGTCAGATAGATGCCATATTCATAGACTTCAGCAAGGCATTTGACAGAGTGCCACATGGTAAACTGCTCTTTAAATTGAAAAGTATTGGTCTTGACTCAGCCATCGTTAAATGGATCGGATCCTATCTACATGGTCGTAGACAGTATGTCGAGGTTGGTTCAGGTTGCTCAGAGATGCTTGATGTGACTTCCGGTGTACCCCAGGGAAGTGTCCTTGGGCCACTATTGTTTTTGATATACGTCAATGATATTGTTTCTGTTGTGGACCCAGGAGTGAACATTCGTTTATTTGCGGACGATTGTGTATTGTTCAAAGATGTTTTGTGTACTGATGACCAACTCGCACTTAACTCAAGCTTAAACTCTATACAAGACTGGTGCTACCAATGGAAAATGAAATTGAATCTCGAGAAAATTGTCTTTCTTAGAATCACAAACAAAAAAAAGTACCTCTCCTTTCAGTACAAAATAAAATATTATAACGTCTCTGAGGTAGACCATTACAAGTATCTAGGGCTGACAATTGATAGGTATTTGGGCTGGTCAAAACACATCGACAACCTTACATCTGCTGCTTTTAGAAAGCTAGGCCTCATTAGACACAAGTTGAAAAATACACACCCGAACGTAAACTTGTTAGCGTTCAACACGCTTGTGAGACCTAAACTGGAATACGCCAGCGTTGTATTTGATCCCTTTACCAAAAAAGACATAAATTGGAAAGGGTTCAAAGACGGGCAGTCAGATTCATTTACGATAAGTTCAAGCGATCAGATTCTCCCTCCTCTCTAATGCAGATAAACAAAATTGAATTGTTGCAGGAACGAAGGCAAATAGCAAGGCTAAAGTTTCTGTTTCTTCTTGCAAATGACAAGCTATCTATTAATCGCCATGCATATCCAAAACCCATTGCTACGAGACAGACCAGACATCACCAACCACACTCACTGACTCCTTATTTTGCTCGCACTAATCTTTTCAAATTTTCCTTTTTTCCAAGGACACTCAATGACTGGAATTTTCTGCCCACTGAGTCACTTCCTTCTTCCTACCCCATGACCGTATAGGTTTTTACTGGTAATGTGTATCTTGCTCTTGAAGGCTTCGTGTCCTGTATTTTGGCATTTGTTATTTACTGTATATTTTAACCTAGTGGCCTTTTTATATATTTTGTTGAAGACTGTTTTTGTCGTGTATTTTACGATCTGTATTCACTCCTGCTTGGACAATTTAGGTCCGCAGTATGTCATAAATAAATAAAATAAATAAAAAATAAACATTGTCAAGCAAGTGGAGAACTACAGGCAACACAAATGGGCTCTTCACTTTCGTCTGCAATCATGTTCCTGGTTTGTTTTACAGATATGCTGAATTGTACTTATCCTACTCCGTAGGATTCCTAGATGGCCTATTTATGTTCCTAACTCAACCTATCTGCTCTAAGTATCCCAAAAGTCCAAAACTTACAATCATGTGCGGCTTATTTCACTATTAAAAATGCGATCAAAGACAGCCTATGCGGTTGAACCAAATCAAGCCGAATAGGATGAAACGGCGAAAGACACTCGTCAGTCAAGTGTAAGCGAGGGCTTCCTGTGCAGACGAACAGGACTGGTAGGCTGCTTGTGCCCACGTGAAGCTATCGCTTGTGATTGTCTGATGTGCCCTGTTCGTTGTTCGTCTACATTCGGCCGGCTTCAGTGGCGCCCTTTGTACGTCGGGGATTCCAATTGCTTTTATCACATTTTTATTAGTGAAATAAGCTGGACATGATTGTAA